AAAGTCAAAATTAAATGGCCTGATTGAATTGGCTAGTTTTAGAAAGGCTTTTAAAGAGTATTTGAAATAGGAGTTCAAATGCTGCTCTGTTTGAAAGATATTTTTAGAACGTTTTATCTTAACTGAAATTAAGAAAAGCTTTAAGAAATTTAGTGATTCACTTATTTGAAATTATTGTTACAAATTATGAAAGTATTCTTTCTTATATTAAAAAAAAAAAAATGTTCCGCAAATTTTAAGAAACCCCAGTAAGTACAAGTTAAAGTTTAAGTTACAGTGGCGGCCTCATAGGAGGGTCGTCACAGGTAGCCTCTCTCACGGCTGACTTTATCGCGTTATTTTTCCCGGGCTGGTCTCGCAGACCTCAACTGTGTATAGGGTCGACGGTCTCGGTCTTCTTATACATTTGGCTCTCCTGCCATAGAGGAGAGACCAATGAGGCTCGGGCGACGAGGGCTAAATGACGTGACAGACATGGGGCCACGTGTGGCCTGATCGTTGTCCGACGTGCCGACGTGAATTTTTCCACACAACAACAACTATTTATATATAGCAATTACTCTAATTTTACACGTGACATCTAATAAAGTTTGTAGTTTCCCCTTAAAATAATCAATTTATGTTTACTCTACCGTTTCCGATAATTTTAGTATGTACACTCCCCGAACCCAGATTAAATTTTATACTCTGTCCCTATATATATATCCACGTGTGATTAATGCATTACATAACCTGCTTTGGCTTTACTATTTTGCTTGTAGCTTTTAGTACTTTATGTATCCGGAGCATGAAATCATTTTATAATTCTTAATTTGTGCACTTCTACTTCTTATTATCAAAAAATCACATTCAAAATTATACTGTCCTAATTATAAACTACTCAAGAGTATTAAATCTAAAAAGAAAAAGGAAAAGAACACATAAAACCTCTAACACTTCCGGGAGAGTTACTCATCGTGTAATGAAATCAATGAAAGATGTAAATAAACCTATAATATTATTAATGAAATTCAATCTCAGAAGTTTCATTTCAAATAAACAGCAAAATCCAAAATAACAAAAAATTAAGATCGAATGCTTCATCACAGGATAAGACCCTATATAGAACCAAAAGAAGAATTTCTAAGAGAAGAAGAAAGCTCTGAAATTTAGTGTGTCTCAAGTGAGAAGTTGAATCTTTTTTTAGGGATCAGAGCAACTCTAATCATGTTAGTTATTTCATGTTTTTAACTTAAACATCTAATGATTTAGTTTTTTTTCTTAAAACTTTTCTCCACTCAAACGATTAGCTAAATGGTTAGCTATTTTAGAGTGTCTTTCACACTAGCTAAATATAGCTAGCGTAGAGTTATTTTTATATTATTTTATTTTTTTAACTGTAATAAATGTAAAGATTCTTTTTAAATTTAATAAAATTATTTATATTTTAAATTCAATAAATATTAAAATAATCTATATTTAGCTGAAATATGGAGTAGGATTGGAGTGACTTACTAAAAAGTTACTAGCTAAAATAGTTTTTTAGCCATTTTAATTAGAAGAAAATGACATCGTCTCTTTTTGATCATGTGGGAAAAAGAGCTCACATTCTAGGAGTTTTCTTTTGATTTTTCTAACTTCATGGGATTATTTCAAGACTCAATTTCTTATCCACCCGCTCACCATTTTGAGCATATAAATTTATCATTTCGATCTACTCATGTCAGAGAACACAAATCTAAAATGAACCGCCATTAACACGAAGTGGGTCCTGCTCAAAATTTGAGTCTCAAAATAATACCTTAAAAAAAGGTTTCCAAACTATTTTTCCAACCGTCGACACACTCGCAAGTAATTAATTCTTGGTACAAAGTTTGGTTTGGGTGATGAATTAGCAGTTCGGTATCTGCCTAATTTAGTTTGACAATATCAAAGATATGATTTACACGTTAGCAAGCAGCAAATTAAATTCAATTTATGTACTTGAAGAAAAAGCATATCATGACATGTCTATATAAGAAAAGTGGTACATGCTTAATTCCCTCCATCATATGCACTTGGCTAGCTTCTTGATCTGGTTATTCATGAACAATGGCCAAATATTATTGCCTCATCATATTTGCATGCTTTTCTTTTTGTTCTCTCATTTGAACTGATTCTCGTCTGGGGATCAGCTCCTGATAAATGCAGTCCAATTGTTGCCAGCGATTCTGATCTGATTGAATTTGCTCTCAACCTTGAATTCTTCGAGGCTGAGTTTTTGTTGCATGGAGCACTTGGTAAAGGGCTGGACTCTCTAAATTCATCATTGGCCCAAGGAGGCCCGCCTCCAATTGGTGCTCGGAAGGCCAATCTGGACCCACTTGTCCATAGAATCATCGAGGAATTTGGTTACCAGGAATTTGTTAAAAAAATATTTCGTCACATTTTTTTTATTTAAATAAAATATGCTCACATACAATTATTCCCTCCTATTTGCTCATGGCAACTCACTTGATAGTTTATGTCTATCTCATATATATATATATATATTATATATATATATATGTATATGAATAATAATATCAATATTATTTATTTTCTGATGATCGTTAATAATTTGTAACCATTCATGATATAATATATATACGTGCGTAAAATTGCGTGCAGGGCCATTGTTAGTAGGACAAGAGGGATTCCGAGGCCTTTGCTGAATCTCAGCTCTGAGAGTTTCGCAAGAATTTCCGACCAAGCAGTTGGTTTCAATCTGAGACCTTCATTTGGCCCATATGCGAATACACTCAACTATCTCTTAGCAGCCTATACAATCCCGTACGTTGGGCTATCAGGCTATGTTGGCACCATCCCACGCCTTTTTCTTCCTTCTTCCCGGAGTGTAAGAAAGCTTCTAATAATTCACTTTTACTTAATTTTTTAATTAACATTACCTAATTGTGGTGTAGAAGTCTAGATCAGAGGTTGAAAATAAGGTCTCACATTGGATTAATCCTTGATGTTACTCACAACTCTGCAGTACTTGTACTGTTCTACTAATTAGCTGCCTTTATAAATTAAGAAAGAGAATATAAAACCAGCAGCACAACTTATAACTAACGCCTAAATGATTATACGTATTGATCAGTGAGTGGTGTGTGCTAGTAATAATGGATTAAAGATTCGAGTGTTAGGTGACTCTTTCGGAGCGTTTTAAATATAAACGTTTGCACTTGCCTGTTTAGTACTCGATTTAGTAGCGTGACTTATCTATTGTATTACATATCAGTGAGTTTACTTATCTATTGTTAGCACATTCAGTGAGCAGAGTCCTCATCGAAGCATCAATAATAGGACTTTTAGTAAACATTCATGTCACCGTTTAGGATCCCTTTTTAAAAATGTCCAGAAAAATATGCTAATGCTGATTATCCTTTTACGAACTTTTCTTCACAAAAGAGAGAATGACTAGGCGATGAGAGTACTTGTTAATATTACTCCAATGACCAGCAAATTAAGCAAACAACAAGCATTATGACACAACTATAAATAGTGCTCCTGCATCAACTCCCTAATTTCCTTATATCTCATATATATATATATATATACCAATCATAAAATTATCATGTAAAAATTACCCACAAGACGTTCCTGTTTTATTAATACTCAATGAGCCCAAGATTAGCATCCGATGATATGATATTCCTTTAAAAAAAAAAAAAAGTTTCCAACAAGTGATCAAAACGGGTCAATTAATAGGTGAATATACGATTAAATATTAGTTAACATCGATCTAAACTTTATAATAAATACGCAATTTCATGACAAATATTCTTATATATATTTACATGTATTATTATTCCTTTACATGCATGCAGTTGGTTGCTTCACTTCTAGGGGTGGAATCAGGCCGGGACGCAGTCACCTGCGGAGCCAGAATTTTAATTTAAGGGGCCTGTACTAAATATGTAAAAAATGCTAATAAAATCAACTCTTAATATTTTTAGATGAATAATATATATGTATAGACTATTAAACATACTTGAGTAATAAAGATTTTAGCAAGTAAATTAGATAAAAAAAAAAATTATTTAGGAGGCACATAATACCTATGAGAAAATAGTAATTGCAAGTGTTAGAAGAAGAAAAAAAAAAGATTTTTAAGTATGCATGGCACATTTGAATGAATACATATTACTTTAATAAGGGCAAATTAGAGAAAATGTGCGTGTGAGAAAGTCGTAATTGAGAGGGTTGTTTAAAAAAAATCCTTAATTAGGGACACATTTTGAGAAAGAATATTTTAATGTGTCATTTTTTATATAGCTTAGATTATAGCAAAAAATATTTTACAAGTGACCAATTTGAAAGAAATTTTTTTTTCATAAGAATAAATTAGAGGAAAAAAATCAGTTAGGTACATTTAAAGTATGAGATTTAATAGGAAAAGATCAAAAGAATAATAAAAAATAAAATAATTTGAGATCGGATTTTATGAGGATATATTTAAAATTTTTATTGATATGAGAGGCATATATACAATTTTTTTGAGAAAATATATACTAAAAATCAGAG